GATGTGAGTATCGAACATCAATTAGATGTAAGGGGATTCTGAAACAAAAATTATTTATGATCTGATTTCGAACAACGCTCTCACAAGAAATTGATATGTACAACATTATTCAATTCGATTACTGGCCTAGTGGTCAAGGCGTTGATCTGAGAGTCTTGAGGTCACGAGTTCGATCCTTACTTGGGTCACTTTTCTTATTTTAGAATATGTTTATTGGAATATTCCAGGAACATTCAACATAGAATATTCTTTTGGATATATTCTATGAATATCTGAGGAATTCCCATTCGCATATTCAGAGAATATTCCACAGATATTTCGGAATATTCCAGATTATTTCTAGAATATTCCAATATTCCAAAAGGAATATGATAGGGAGATTCATGGAATATCTGGTGCTGTCTGGGTACACATCCCAACTGAATAAATACATCAATAACTTCTCGTCACACTTCTGTGCTGACGATAAACAACTTTATCATGAGTTCAAAGAAGACTAACTTGAGGATGCATGTATCAAAATAAATAACGATTTGGAATCTCCAGCAAGTGTCTCCGAGAAACTTTGTTCAAAAATCAATCCACTCAAGACAAAGGCACTATTATTTGAAAGCAGGCAAGTGTGATTTCAAACTAGGCACTTTATTGACCTGCGCATTAATGAAGTGCCCATCGTCTTCACAGAATGTGAAAAAAACTTAGGACTCATGCTTGATGTCAATCTGAAATTCAAAAAACATGTGTCCAATATCATTCAAAGAGCATTTTGTAGCCTGACAATGATCTATTCCAATTAGTTGATACTGACTCGACATTGCAAGATAGCTTTATTTGATGGCCCTGCTATTACTGAATCTGAAAGCAGACGCTTTCAGTTGATTCAAAATGCTTGTGTCGGCTTGTGTCCGCCTGATCTGCGGTCTTCGAAGACGCGATTATATTTCACTATCTCTCAAACATATAGGTTGGCTAAATATGAAAGAGAGGCGCCTTCTTCATAGATGCGTTCTTTATCATGAAGTTATCACGTCAAAGAATCCTTCTTATCTTTACAATAAAGTCAGGTTCAGAAATCAAGTTCATGATGTGAATGTAAGAGGTAAACATCATATAACGATTCCGAAACATAAAACCACCTTGTATCAATCTTCATATTCGTATGATATTGCTGGAATATATGATGCAGTGCTGGCAGAATTGAAATCAATAGCTAGTCTGGATATCTTCAGAAGAAAACTGAAGCTTACAATTTTGGATGGCTCTTTTGGCCAATCAATTAGATAAATATCACAATGCCAAAATTATAATTAGTTGTTCTTCCACATTATGATTCATGAGATAGATATCCGATGCTTCCCATGATTTCCATTTTTATATATATATATATAATACTACCTTCTCACATTACCCATTTCATCTTACCCTCAACCTACTCCTATGATATACACACACATATTGATTGTAATTGCATTGCATTTCTAGCATAGTTATAGGTTCATTAATTTTCAATATTTTTTCTACGATGTAGATAGTTAAGTTCTTCATCATCATGTCTTCAGGTAGAGTGAAAGAGCGAGGCTTCTAATATTGCTTTAATGTTAATGCATTTCTAGCATAGTTATATATATAGGTTAATATCTTTTCCATATGTTTCCTATTCAGTTAGTTTAATTCTTTTTCATCATGTCTCCAGGTTAAGTGGAAGAGCGCGGCTTCTGAAATTGGTTATTTTATATCCAATTGAAGAAGTGCGAACTTTGCCTTTGCTTTGCAGCCACCGCATTTCACGATTTATATATATGATTCATATGATGTATAAAGTTATTAATTTATATATTCATTCATTTCCACATATAATGTGAAGAGGTGTTGCAGCAGCAATAAAAGCCATATCATCATTATTATTATTATTATTATTATCTATATTAGAATACGGTATACTAGATATTAACTTGAAAGAGTTGTTAGCAAATAATACATATCATTACTTACTAAGAAAACAAATTCAACAGTGGTGAAGTCGAGGGGTAAATCACTGAGCAAATTCGTGTACACCGGACTGCCATCCATACTCGGACTGCCAAGACTGCCACCGGACTGCCACGGACTGCCACCGGACTGCCACGGACTGCCACCGACTGCCACCGGACTGCCACGGACTGCCACCGGACTGCCACGGACTGCCACCGGACTGCCACGGACTGCCACGGACTGCCACCGGACTGCCACGGACTGCCACCGAAATGTAATGGACTATCACTCAATTATGTGTTCCAATAAAAATAAAGCTGTTTTTTGGAAATTTCAATTCACCACAAGAACAAAGTTCACGAAAACCGTTCTGACTGAATAAGTACTAGAAAGGCATCCCCGATGGTGATTAACATAGAAGAAATAAATCATCAACCGTGACCTACGATGTGAAGATCTCATTGGAAACCTATGGCATAAGAAACTGATCCGGAAACTATAACATATTCCTGTATATAACATAACATATCTCGTTAAATCTACATGAAATGAAGATATTTTTTGAGGTGCAATAGGTGAAGTGGAAATACACGTAAATAGTACAGAAATCCGATGTTTTTATTTTTCTGTCGATTCGCCTGAAAATGTTCAGCACAAAATTTTCGAGGTTGAACAATACGAATTTTGAGTGAAAATTTTAAAATTGATATACTTATTTCGTTCATTCCGTTTGGAAGGTCAAATCAGGATTTGTCTTGGTTCGTTAATATCCCGATAAATACGAATTTTGAATTGTATTTGAGGATTTCAGATTCGCCCCAAAATGCCCCAAATGAAAACTATGGGTGTTTAAAGTTTGAGATATCAGAATTCCGAGTTGAATATTCAAATTCAAACGATTTTGTCATTTCCTTATCAATTTGTCAAAAAATCGTGGTTGAAAAATACGCATTTTGAGTCGCATTTGAGAATTCAAGATGGCGTCCCATAAGATGGCGGACGATTTCAATTTCAATGCATTTTCACATCAGGGTGTCCCATGAGAAAAAGTATAACTTTGATACGCCACTCATTTCAGAATCGCCCTGTATAACGCAAAATATTTTATAAATGTACACCATCTCAAAATTTCTTGTTTATCGATCTCAATCAGCAAAGCCGTTATCTCACTCTCCCACAGTATTGGTTCACCCTGTTCACCTATGATTCGTAACGCACTACCCAAAAAAATCCTCGTTGTACATTTTCAGAAAATTTGACCTTTATCGTAAATTCGTGATTCTTATACTTGAAAATTATTGTCAAGAGTATACAGTGTGACCACAAATATTCTTTCCTGATGTAATTGGGTAAGCTTTTATAACACGTGAAAAATATCGTTGACAATTAATTTATACGGTTTTTCAAATTTTGAAAACATTCCAGAAATACTTGAGTTACAGGTCGATACATATATGGTGAATCAGATATGTACAAGGATTAAGGCAGGTATAGATAAACAAATTCTTAAACAGGTACTGCTCCGAGATCTATTTACTTATTGAAATTTTGTGAATTCTTATTGGTTAAATACAGTATAAATACAAAATTGTTAATGAAAAGTAGTATCCTCTCTTATGCAGAAAGAATATTCTCCTTCTTCATATATATTATCTATATATTAGGTCGAGCTAGGTTAGATTGTTTAGAAAAATTAGTCTCCCTTCTTATGCAGAAAGAATATTTTTCTTCCTCATATTATATATCATGCCGAGTTAGGTTAGGTTGTTTGCAAAAAAAAGTCTCCTTCCTTTTTCGGAAATGATTATATTTTATGTCCTGGAATGAGTTCAAAACATATGAAACTTGATTAAACTACCGTTTTATATGTTCCCTACTTTGCGCGCAATTACAGCATAACCTTTTTGGGCCGTGCGTGCAAATGGCACTATGGGATAAGGACGAGGATTAGGACCGAGATTTGGACACACTGTTGAGAATACTGACCGCTGCGCGCAATTGCAGTCCATAATACACAAAATTTGCGTGGGTTTCAACTCTGGAGCTTGAGATCCCCAAGGTGAACTTTTTTTATTCAGGCGATTCGGACAATAAATGACAAAGTTTTCCGTCCCATTGTAGACGCCATCTAGAATTTCAAAACTAACTCGAAAATCATGATTATATACTCCAAGAATATCTGATTTCTTTTCCCCATTATAGGAATTACCTTTCGTGCGCTCCAAGAGATGAAAAAAACTGACGCCTCCCTACAGAAGCCATCTTGTTTTTCAAAATTTGGACTCGGAATTCGAAATTGCCAATCTCGAGAACCCCTACTTGTACATTTTCAGGTTAATCAGAGAATAAATAACAAAGTCGCCGCCACCTTGCAAACGCCCTCTTGAATTTTCAAATTTAGAATAATTGTCGGATTACGAGAGAAGAGACGAGAGACCACCAGACTACCACCGGACTACCACCGGACTGCCACCGGACTGCCAAGGACTGCCACCGGACTGCCACGGACTGCCACCGGACTGCCACGGACTGCCACCGGACTGCCACGGACTGCCACCGGACTGCCACGGACTGCCACCGGACTGCCACGGACTGCCACCGGACTGCCACGGACTGCCACCGGACTGCCAAAAGAATGTACACCGGACTGCCCCAGTGATTTACCCCTCGGGTGAAGTATTGAGGTCCTAATTGATCATTAGGTAGAATGTCAAAATATTTGAGTTCGTTCCATATTTCAATTATAATCTAGTTCTATTCAAAATCTATGAGATAACCTTTTCAAAACAAAATAGTGATATGGAAAGGTGACCTGTTTCTCGTCGGAAACGTTGACTTTTCAGGTTGAAGATTTCTTCAAGATCAACGAAATGTAGTATGAGTTCCGTTTCTAACCATAACACGAACAATATTTCATTCCATGCGTCCCAATTATATGACTTATAGGTTATTATAATAATAGATAATATCGATATTGACAATTATCGATTTCGTTCCTAGTAATAAGTTCTGCTTATATATGCTCACAGTTCTCTAAGACGAGAACGAGACGAGAACGAGACGAGAACGAGACGAGAACGAGACGAGAACGAGACGAGAACGAGACGAGAACGAGACGAGAACGAGACGAGAACGAGACGAGAACGAGACGAGAACGAGACGAGAACGAGACGAGAACGAGACGAGAACGAGACGAGAACGAGACGAGAACGAGACGAGAACGAGACGAGAACGAGACGAGAACGAGACGAGAACGAGACGAGAACGAGACGAGAACGAGACGAGAACGAGACGAGAACGAGACGAGAACGAGACGAGAACAAGACGAGAACGAGACGAGAACGAGACGAGAACGAGACGAGAACGAGACGAGAACGAGACGAGAACGAGACGAGAACGAGACGAGAACGAGACGAGAACGAGACGAGAACGAGACGAGAACGAGACGAGAACGAGACGAGAACGAGACGAGAACGAGACGAGAACGAGACGAGAACGAGACGAGAACGAGACGAGAACGAGACGAGAACGAGACGAGAACGAGACGAGAACGAGACGAGAACGAGACGAGAACGAGACGAGAACGAGACGAGAACGAGACGAGAACGAGACGAGAACGAGACGAGAACGAGACGAGAACGAGACGAGAACGAGACGAGAACGAGACGAGAACGAGACGAGAACGGGACGAGAACGAGACGAGAACGAGACGAGAACAAGACGAGAACGAGACGAGAACGAGACGAGAACAAGACGAGAACGAGACGAGAACGAGACGAGAACGAGACGAGAACAAGTTTTGAGACAAGTTGAAGATGACAGCAAGACAAAGATAGTCGAAAATGATACATAAATAAAACAATAGCGAAAAATGTTTCATTTCTATTGTCCAAAATATTTTGAACGTTTCAGAACTTCATCATTATCGCTTTCTGAATTCCATTGTGTGTATGGACGCATTCATGATCTTGCATGATCACATCAAGGTCAATCTCTTAATTGGACTTGATGTATATCTGGTTTGTACGATTTTATAACTGCTTACGCTAACCTTAATGATATTACTTGATATGGTAATCACACGTTCCTTTGCCTCAGACAGGAAGTGCATTATCCCAGATGAAATGTTCACATTAAGTATTCATATAGAGATATTCAGTAGTTAAGTGATTATTTCATACCAGTTGAATCGATTTCGATTGGTTAGGTAATGAAAATATTCAGATTTTCAAAAAATCAGAACATATTGCATTAATTATCAGAGACTATTTTATTAGTTCTATATTTTTTCATGACTAAGGATTGGAGTGATGTTTTTTCATGATTATTGTCTGAAGTTCAGGAATGTGAGTTCTATGATAGGATGTCAGGTTTCATCAATATCTTGTACGATGCGTCTTTTCCGTAGTTTGAATCATAATATTGAGTGACCGTTAAGGAACCACAAGCAATGAATTTGTGATATATCATTTGAAATCTGATGGTTTCTGATTTCATGTACATTCCGATAAAGCCTAACTCCTAATTGTTCACTTCACTGTTCTATTTTCTTATTATATTGCAATTCAATCTGGTTTCTGAATTGACTCGCCGTTTCTTGACGGAAATCCATGGCAAATGTAAAAACTCCACAAACGATGAGATCTTCACATAATTGTCAAACACACGACATATTTCGCTAACACATCAGTAGCTTTGATATACTGTACAATGTACCAGTATATTACCTGACGAAGCTTTGATATACTGGTACGGTCGTACCACCTGAAGAATCTACTGTAATAGCAAAACATGTCGTGTGGTTGAGAATTTTGTGTAAATCTCATCGTTTCTGAAGTTTTTACATTTATTCTTGTTGTTCCTCAGAACTAAATAAAATATATGAGAAGTGTCATATTGTCATAAACGGCTGATATATGTTCAAGAATAGAATACAAAAAGAATCTTGTGGGCAACACTCTATTGAGAATAAAATCTTGTGGGTACCTTGCAGTTATATTCACAAATGTATTTCATAATGGAACAAATGCAGAATTTTGATAGAAACTGTAACTTCATGCGTATAATCCAGGCACGGTGAATTGATGTAGTTAATCTACGAACGCCAAAAAAAGTTGATTCATGGCAAAAAATCGTGTAATTGCTAATATTTGTACAGTGGTGAAGGAAAGTGCCATGAAAGGGCGTCGAATGTCTTGTTTTCAAGTTGTTCCTATTTTCCTTTATTTTTTCATCGCTTGGTGCGCACGAAAGGAAATCCCTTTGATGTTCAAAGAACATCGTGCGTTCCTAGGGAGGATAGGGACAGGAGGTAGGTATTAATTTTTTTTTTAACTTCTGGAGATTATATGTTGTTGGGAATACTTCCTCAGGCAATGAATTCCAGAGCCTAGCCGTTCCATGGATGAAGGAGTTTTGATAAAGTGCTGTTCGACATCTTTCGAGGTTGACAACGAAAGGATGTGCTGACTGGGCTTGTCTAGTTCGTCTGACTGGTATTGCCAGTAAAGGGATGATAGCAGAGATTTCCGACAAACATTTCCCGTGAAAGTATCCATAGAAAAGTGAAAGGTCGCCGACCTTTCTACGGTGTTCCAAGTTCCAATGATGTCAAAGAGTGAGTGAGTGTGGCATCACCCACCAGGCGAATGACCCTTCTCTGGATGGAATCTAAGAGCATCAGCGTATGTTTTGGTGCTGAACCCCATATGTGGAAACAGTATTCTAGAACCGGCCGTATCTGCGCTTTGTAGATCATGAGAAGCTGTTGAAGTGTGAAGTAGCTTTTCGCAATGAACAAGAATCCGAGTTTTTTTTTGAAGCAGCTTTCCGGGCATAGATATAGTGGGCTTGGTGGGGATGGTGGTGCCAGGCATTTCAATATCGGGCATACTGAGTTCCGCCTCTCTTTAGTTGAATTCAACTAGGTTATTGGTTCCCTAGGCTGTGATTTCAGCAAGGTCTTCATTGACAGCATTGACCTGCCTGAGCCGTAAGTTCTTAGTTTCCTGGGAAGGAATAGGAATTCTGGAAGAGAACGCAGAATGGAGGGTACTATCATCTGCAAAGCTGTAGATAGGGCAAATTGTTACTCCTAACAGATCATTGATATGAAGAAGGGATAATTTTGGTGCCAGAATTGATTCTTGTGGAATGCCGGAATTGATGCCAATGGCATCAGACGATACACCTTCCACCATCTTGTGAAACGATCTGCCTGAAAGAAAACGTGACAAGAGATGGCATACCTGAGGTGGTTAGCCGTATGATGGAAGTTTGTGGAGGAGTCCTTCGTGCCAAACATGGTCGAATGCTTTCGATATGTCCAACGCGAGATTCTCCGTGGTTTTCTAATGAAGCTTGCCGTAAATGGGTGACCTAGGCAAGTAGATCTCCAATAGATCTCCGGTGGCGGAAGCAATATCGTATATCATTGATGATTCCTGAGCTCTGCAGATATTTGATGAGCTCAATATTGATAACCTTCTCCATCACTTTGGAGATTACTGATAACAAGGCAATGGGCCTGTAGTTGTTGGGCAGGTTCTTGTTCCCTTTTTTGGGGATTGGTTGGACTTGGTTGGACTCTAGTTGTCTTTCAGCATGATGGAAAAATACCCGACCTGTACGAGACGGTGAACAACTTGCAGAGAATCGGTGCTAATTCTGGTGCACATTTTTTGAGGATGATGGGTGGGATTCCATCAGTATTGTTAGCCTTATTCGTTCTGAGACCAAGCAAAATTCATCTGATAGTGCGTTGACGGAAGACAATTTCGGGCATTCAACTCTCAACGGGTAGAATTTCTGGCGACACTTCTCCTTGGGAATCTGAAGTAGAGTTTGCTGCGAACATCTTTGCAAAAGTATCCGCTTTCTCCTGCGATGTTATTGCTAATTTGCCATAGGATTTGGACAGTGGTCGCACTGAAAAACTAAGATGGTAGTTATTACCAAACTTTTAGTAAAATAGGCGCCAGTCACAACTTTCATTTTATGATACAACTACAACATTATATGTTACTAAACTATGAGTTTTATACTATTTTGTAGTGGTTATATTTGATATAGTATGGTTTTATATAATGTTGTAGCGGTATCATTTGATGAAAGTTGTGACTGGCGCCCATTCTACTAAACGTTTGGTGATAACTTCCATCTTTTTTTTTTTTTTCATTATGGAAATGAACTATTAGTGAAATTTCTTCCGACCGCTGCAGCAAGGGACCAAAATGAACGGGAGCCATTGGGACAATCTGTGAGTCTCGATCTTATCTTGGCGTTGTATGTTTCTTTCGAAGCATCTATTGTTTGGCTGCAGTTATTCTTGGCATCAACGTATTCTGCTCTAGTCGCGAGGTTAGGGTTTTTGCACCAGCGATGGTAGGCTGTTTCTTTCAAGGCAACAGTTCTGGAACAATTTTCGTTGAACCAGAGTTCCGATGGTGATGATCTTCTCGAAGAATGAGTTATGTATGTGTCCATTCCAAGCATGATGATATCGGATATTCACGCAGCACACTGTGAAGGGTCCTCAGAGTCAAAGCATACTCTATGCCAAGGATACTCGGAGAAAAACATGCGGAGACCGTCCCAATCTCCTGAATTGTAATACAATATCAGACGTAGGGGTGCCGGAGCAGTAGATGGAATGAAAGTTCTTGTATAATCCAGAAATCGCGACCTCTAGCGAAAAAATGTAGATATACAAAATTGAACAACTTGAAATGTCCAGAAAAAAGTTTCTATTAATTCTTTCGCTACAATGATGTATACATGGGATTCAATAATCGATGGATCGCTCATTCCAATGATAACTAAATACCCAATAGCACCTGAAACAAGACTGGAATAGTATCATGGATATGTTCTACTGGATGTTGAAGACGATGTGAATGCTGTAAAGCTACGGAAATCATTGATCATTCGTATGCGGCATGTTCGATGGAACAGGCACTCTATCATGAGCCATTTCTCCATCTGGTAAAACTAGAAAAGATACAGATAACATCGAGAGCCAAGGTTTTTTATAGTCATATGAACTTCATTTTTCAGATAATGTGAACCATACAGGATGATCCAAATAACTCTATTTCATTCTCTAATACCAGCCAAGCAAATCAGAAACGAACGAGAGAGACAAGTTGACAACATGAATATGGACTTGGCAACAATTCTCGAACGGAGATCCAATAACTTGGTAGATTTCAATGCAAGCAGAACACAAGCATGCCTTTTCTCTTGAAAAGCTGATCTCACTGTGCCCAACATAAGCTTGTCAGGAGTAACCATACCTTCGAAGACATACATTTCGATGCTTGGTATTACTTTTAGCAATAACCTTCCTTGGTAAAATCACGTGAGATCAACTGCTGAAAGTGTATCCCAAAAACTTGGTTTTCTGTTTCGGACCAGGAGCTATTTCACTTCCAGTTAGCTGCTCATGATCCATTAGGCACAGATCCAACCTGTCCTGGATTACTGTTCCCATATTTGGAGTGCAGCACATAAACATACCCTGAAACTGTTGGATTCTGTCCAAAAAAGAGCAATTTGTCTCGTGGGTGATGCCTCGCTCACAAACCCACTCACTTCTCTGGAATACCGTAAAAAAGTTGTCGATCTGGCTATATTTTATAGATATTCTCATGGACGATGCTCTTCTGAAATATCAACAATTGTTCCTTCCTTGACAGTCCCCGCGAGATCAACCGGTCGAGTTGAGGCTTCGCACCCTTTCGTGGTCACTTGGAGACCTGCAGGAAGGTGTTCGCCGAGGCAAATAACCTCCCGAAATTCAGGA